CAGTGGTGTGATCTAGCTCACTGCAACCTCCACCTCCAGGGTTCAAGCGATTCTCCTGCCTCAGCCTCCAGAGTAGCTGGGACTACAGGCACCCGCCACCACACCCAGGTAATTTTTATATTTTTAGTAGAGATGGGGCTTCACCATGTTGGTAAGGCTGATCTTGAACTCCTGACCTCAGGTTTTCCGCCTGCCTCAGCCTCCCAAAGTGCTGGGATTACAGGTATGAGCCACTGCACCTGGCCTGACTTAGGGTTTTATATGCTGACCTACTTCCAGCATCTTGTGTTCCATTTCCCTTGATTCTTCCCTTAGGGTGAGCTGCCTGCATGCTTGGTTGCCTGCTAGCACTTAGGAGGTAAGCAAGCACAGTGTGTTTTTACTGGAGTTGTACACATGCTTACCTGAGGCTTTCTTCCCTTTTCTGGTGGAATGCCCCTGGAAGGTCACATACCAGTTAAATTCTGCCATTTGCCTCTGAGTGGGCATGTGTGAGCCCATGCACCCAACTCCTGAGATCTTATCAGGAAGCTGCTGATCACCAGTTTTAGGTTTTTTCTATCTACAGGGAAACTGCCTTTCCCTGGTGCTGGCTGCAACCAATTATTATTTTACAGAGGCAATGTGACAATGGCCTGACCATCACTTGATGGCCACCTGACTTTCCTGGTGGGGTTTGGGGTCCCTCTCCTGCCCTGTTCATATCTGACTAGCTACCAGTTAGTAACACATCCCAGTTTCCAAGCTCCCATACAAATCAGCTGAAGCCTTTATGGAAACTAGACCTCAGTTCAATTTCTCCTCTGCCCAAGCTGCTTCGTGATAAAACCAAGTTTTTTGTTGTTGTTGTTGTTTTGTTTTTGTTTTTGTTTTTGTCCTTTTGGTTTCTCCAAGTTTTGTCTGGAAGATGTGATATTTTTGAATCTCCATGGGCTCTGTTGTCAGATGGTAAAGGAAACCTGCTGCATTTTTTTTTTCTCAAATCCCTACCACAAAAAAAAAAAAAAACATGAGGCACTGAGCCTTGTCAGAGTTCTGAATTTATTATATAAAATGAAAAGGGTTGTGCATTCAGCCCATTGAGAGTAAGATTTCCTGTTGGAGAGGACAGTGATTGATTTAGTGGTTAGAACAGAAGCCCAGGGATTTCTAGGTCTCCATTTTACTTGAAAAACTGGTGCCTTGTTTGTTCATTCATTCTCTGTGCATTCATTCATTCATTCATGGATCAAAAGTATGTTGAGTGCCTAGTCCCTGTCAAATATTATGCTTTGGGGAGGTGGACGGGCTTGATCACAATCTGATGAAACAACACAATGACTTCCTTGTTGGTGAGTTACTCTCTAGATGTTAGCAAGGTACCATTCAGTGAACTTGGTCCAGTGGACCAGTTGCCATTACACCTGTCCCAGTGAGCTCTCCAGGGTTTAGGTAAATTTGAGATGATGTGAGTCACTCCAGCCTACAGACAAAGCTACTAGAGAATTTTCTTCCTGAGTGGTTGCAGAGATTCTTTTGTATACCATATGGAACAAATATAGGAGATTTCCTGTTAAATTTAGATAGCAAATGTATTGTGATAACTGCTGATGATAAGAGCAGCCTTTTGCTCTTAAAGAATATTTCGGTGAGTGATAAGATTCTGAGCTGACAGTCGAGAACTGAAATCACATATGCAAATGGAACAGTAGGGAAGCCAAGTGGACATTCAGGGAATGGATAAATGAATAAGTGAATCAATGAAACTCAACTGTGCCTAGAAGAATGCTTTACACATTGTAGGTGCTCAATAAAGGTTACTAAAACAAGATGGAGAAACTGAAGCCTATCTCCATCTTCCATCCAATGTATTTGGAGCACCTTTCGTGTGTCAGACATATGCTTGGGACTAATGCCTTTGCACATGCTAAGTCAAAGCATGCTCTACAATTCCAGGCAGAATTGTTCTCCACATTCCCTCCTACTATTTTGCCATATCCAGATCTTTTAAAAAGAGCTTCTATATCCAGAGAGAAAGAAAGAGAGAGAGAGAGAAAATGAAAGCTCAAAGTCATTTCACATGTGGCTATTGAACTTAAACCAAACTGGCTCTTGAAATGATTCTTTTGACAGAGTATCTGCTCTTAGAACAACTGAAGCATTATGTCAGTGCAGTGATGACTGAGATATTTTTAGATGCCCATGTTCTGACTTTAAGCAGAATATGAAAGTGGAGCTGTCCAGTACTCAGAAGAAACCGGCATCCAAAGAGCAGAAACCTCTGGTATTGTGAGGATGCAGAGCTAAGGTGGCTGAGGGAAAATCCAATCGGATGTTCAAGCTCAAATTTTAATGAGAGATTAGATAGGACCTTTGTTTGTGGAAGTCACTTTTGAAAGTTTAAGTGAAGCTAGGTATGAATAGCACTTGCCTATTCTTGAGTAGTCATCTTATAACAATGTAAATGACATGCTTAGCTGAAACCTGCTGAATGGATACCAGTTGACAAAAAGAAAGGATTCAAAGTGAAATGTCCTCAGGCAGGTACCATGAAGGAAAGAAGCAGTCAGGTGGGAACAATGGGGCGACCTACAGAGGCTGTACTCAGAGGGTGGGATCATCAAACTCCAAATTCAAGCCCCTTCTATAGCCCTGTGGGAATCCAGACTCTGGTATGAGCCTAGGATGTTTCCAAAGAAGCAGGAAATCTTGACTTCTATTGAACTTACTCAATATTTAAGAAAGAAATAGGCACCCTCTGGAGACATATTTTGGTTAGGTTTAACCAATGGGAGGCACCAGAAGGCAAATGGCCACTTCAGAGAGTGGGGACAAGGGAAACCAAGAGGATGAACAGGATGTGCAGTAGTTGGATGTTGTCACGGCAACCAAGAATGGGGTACCAGGAAAGGATAACTTCCTTCTTCCCTTTTTTCTTTTGTAGCTTTTGCATTTAGATAAAAACTATGAAGGATGTTGTGTGAATAAGACCTGCTTTTCCCTGTAAGACACGTTTGGTTTTTCTCTCACACTGCTCTCCTGGCTTTGCAGCACCTCAGAGAAGTCAGGAGAGGCCCTCTTAGTTCTGAGGTGACTGAGCCTCCATCGTGTGGGCTGGCTGTGTATCTGAAAATATCGAGCTGTGCTTCAAAAGCTTTTCCACTGGGCAAGGGCCTGGTCCTTTCTGCGCGTTGACAGTGTATCTTTGAGGAATTTATAAGAAAAGGTGGAAAAATAGAATGTGATTCTGTCACCAACCTTCTTTACTACTGATAAAATATACCTCATGCTATTCTTTGTTTTCTCCTTGGATTTTCTGGAACTTCATTTTACTATCTGAAACTTCCTTTCCAGGCTTGATGAAGAAAGCCTTCAAGTTGTGGTATGAGAGGAAAGTGGCTCTGGGCTGAGGGTCTGGGGACGTAGGCCAGTTCATAACAAGTTAATGAGTTTGGTCAAGTGTCTCTGAAACTCAGTTATTCTTGCTTGTAATGTAACAGCAATAAGGTGATGGCCTACTGTGGAGTCAGGAGCCTCAGACCCAGGGCAGACAATCTGGGCTCAGTTCAAGAGTTAATATAATCTAGATATGTGATCTTGGTAAATCACCTTTCCTGGTCTCAGTTTCCCAATTGGTAAAATTAAAGTACTGAGTTGTTCAATTTATCCAACAAATATTTGTTAATATGTGCCAGGCTGTTCAGGAGTTGGACTAATGTTAAATATTTAATTTAAATATTTCAATATTTAAATTAAATAATTTAAATATTTCATAGTTGTGTCTTAGCCTTCACTGTTTAAATGTTGCCCTCCCAAAACATATATATATATACACACACACACATATATATGTGTATATATATGTATATATGTCCACATCCTAATCCTGGGAACCTGTGAATGTGACCTTATTTGAAAAAAGGCTCTTTGCAGACATAACTAAGAGATGAGGTGATCCTGGATTACCAGGTGAGTCCTAAACCCTTTGACAAGTATCCTTGTCAGAGACGTGCAGAGGAGAGAACCACATAGGAGTAGGCCATGTGAAGATGGAGGCAGAACTTGAGATGTAGCCACCAGTCAAGGATATCTGGGAATACCAGAACTGGAAAAGGCAAGGAGAGTATGGTCCTACCAATACCTCGATTTCAGACTTCTGGCTTCCAGAACTGAGGGAGAATAAATTTTTATTGTTTTAAGCTACTGAGTTTGTGATAATTTCTTATGGCAGCTTTAGGAAATGAATACAATGAAGTTCAGGTCCACGACCTGGCAACTGCCTTCTCCTCTTTTGTGGGATGACAATCTGTGTATGCACAAAGGACTTTCTTTTCTTTTTTTTTAATTTTTTTTTATTATTATACTTTAAGTTCTAGGATACATGTGCACAACATGCAGGTTTGTTACATATGTATACATGTGCCATGTTGGTGTGCTGTACCCATTAACTAATCATTTACATTAGGTATATCTCCTAATGCTATCCCTCACCCCATCCCCTCCCCACAATAAGCCCTGGTGTGTGATGTTCCCCTTCCTGTGTCTAAGTGATCTCATTTTTCAGTTCCCACCTATGAGTGAGAACATGCGGTGTTTAGTTTTCTGTTCTTGCGATAGTTTGCTGAGAATGATGGTTTCCAGCTGCATCCATGTCCCTACAAATGACACTAACTCATCCTTTTTTATGGCTGCATAGTATTCCATGGTGTGTATGTGCCACATTTTCTTAATCCAGTCTGTCACTGATGGACATTTGGGTTGATTCCAAGTCTTTGCTATTGTGAATAGTGCTGCAGTAAACATACGTGTGCATGTGTCTTTATAGCAGCATGATTTATAATCCTTTGGGTATATACCCAGTAACGAGCAAACTAACCAGCTAATGTCATAATGACAGGATCAAATTCACACATAACAATATTAACCTTAAATGTAAATAGACTAAATGGTCCAATTAAAAGACACAGACTGGCAAATTGGATAAAGAGTCAAGACCCATCAGTTTGCTGTATTCAGGAGACCCGTCTCACATGCAGAGACACACATAGGCTCAAAATAAAGGGATGCAGGAAGATCTACCAAGCAAATGGAAAACAAAGGACTTTCAAGAAGCAGCAACACCATTTGTTTCAACTCAAAGCTCCCTGCTGAGAGTACAATCCAAGGTGGTTCTTTCTGCTCAGGTTACCGTGGTCCCCACCTCATGACGATGTCATTCTTGGGGCAGGTGGTTTATCAGGAGAAAACATCTGACTCAAGCTTGTAAGCAGGCTGTGATGAACAAATTGGACCAATTAGATTCTTCTCTTTGCAGAGTTTGATTTTAAGACACAAAAAAAGATTAGTTGTTAGACGATGCAAAAGAAGGAAATGTGAAGAACCTGCAAGGTGGTGGAAAACATATATAATTTAATAAATATAACATAGCATTAAATAGATAATTAGAATATATAATTTATTCTAAATAAAAATTTAAAATTTAATAAATAAAATATAGAATTTATGGTAGAGAAAATAAACTTTTAAAAATCAATTTGTGCCGAGTGCAGTGCCTCACGCCTGTAATCCCAGCACTTGGGGAGGCCAAGGTGGGCAGATCACTTGAGGTCAGGAGTTCAAGATCAGCCTGGCCAACACGGTGAAACCATCTCTACTAAATATACAAAAGTTAGCCTGTTATAGTAGCAGGCACCTGTAATTCCAGCTACTTAGGGGACAGAGGCAGGAGAATCGCTCAAACCCAGGAAGTGGAGGTTGCACTGAGCCAAGGTCACACCATTGCACTCCAGCCTAGGCAACAAGAGCAAAACTCCATCTCAAATAAAATAAAAATCAATTTGTTATGTTTGAAAGTGGATTGGCCTCCACTGGGAAAAGGGTTACAGTTTCAAAATTCACATTTCCAGTGTCTTCTCTTGCCACTGTTCCCATTTGTCAGTGAATTTTCAGATTTCCCCCATTTAAGGTTTTTATCAGGCTAGCCAGAGGCTTCACCTGGATTCTTCGCCTAGGGCTTCTTACCTGAACCATATGTTGGGGATAATCCCATCCTGGGCAGCAGACCTGGCTTCCAGAAACACTGGCCTAGCCCACAATGTCTTCTTTTATTGGTTATCTGAGAAATGTGCACATTGTCCTATGGAAACTTACTAAAGAGTCACAGAGACCTGCAGTAGATGACTGTTCTAGCTCCATGCCTAGTGCCAGGTTCACACTACTCCTGAAAAATGATTAATAAAAAGGATAATAATAAGTATCATTTCTTGAACTCCAGTACTAGGTCAAGTGCCACAGTAGGAATTTAGCATGAATTACCTTGGATTCTCAACATAATTCTGCCAGGGGGATAGTATCATCTCCTTTTTAGCATTTATTATTAACAGTATTTATCTGGCAGGAAGTTTTTGAAGACCATCAATGATGTGTCTAAAATGGTACATAGGAAACATTTATGTTGATTGTTGCTGCTGCCACTACTGCTACTGAGGAGAGTAGCTCAGGAGGTTAAGTAATTTATCCAAGAGTCACAGTGATGGCACTGATGGAGCCAGGATCTGTTCCCTGATCTGTTTGATTCTTTGTCTGTACTACTTTTGACTACATTCTGGGCCTATCATGGGGAACAAGGCAATGGCTAAGCCTTAGCCATGGGTGAATCTGGCCACTGACATGACCTGGATTGCCCCAGAAGGGCACTGTGGACTACACAGGAACTCCTCACTCTCAGAAGGGAAGTGACCATGGACAACAGTGACCATGATGCCTCACCTGACATTGGAAAGCACATGGAACCCACTACGTCCTTTCAGGGAGACTGTGGTTTCTTTATCCAGGCTGTGTCTCTCTGTACTCAGCACTCTCTAAAAACCTTACCTTCTGCTCTAGATTCCTGCTGTTGCTTTTGCCCTTCAGTTTAGCTCAACACCAGTGGAATCACAGGCGGCTGGTTCCCCTGCACTTGATGGTGACATCCGTTTCCATTCTCAGCCTCCAAAAACTTTTTCAAAAGGTTCCCGTTGACCCACTTCTTCGTTGCAATTTGTGTTGGAGCACGCCTCCCAGTCCTTGAGGGAACATCGTGATGGATGTCCTGCTAGTTCTTCTAGAACAGAAGTTGGCAAAGCACAGCCACTGATCAAGACTAGACAACTGCCTGTTTTTATAAATAAAGTTTTGTCGGAACTTTATTAAATGAGCCATGCTCATTTGTGTGCATATTATCCATGGCTGCTTTGGCACTGCAATGTCAGCGTTAAGTAGTCACAACAGAGCCTGTATGGCTTACAAAGCCCTTTACAGAAAGAGTTTGCTGACCTCTGCCCTAGACTATAGAATATTTTCTGTGTACATACTTTTATATGTGTGTGTGTGTGTGTACAGTTTACTGAGGCTCAATCCATTAGGTATAGGCATGAGAGGTTTTATTAATTCCAGTAACCATCTATACCTAAGTCATGTTGCTCTTACTTTCCCTTCAGGTAGAACCTTCTTTAATGATATCTAGGTCCACTTTTATAATTTTCAACCACCTTCAGTTATTAAAAGTCTCTGTCTGGTAAACTGATGAATGCATCTCGTTTTTTTAGCACCAGCTAGAAGTATGGTCCTAGCTACTTGAGGATAACAATACTCCCTGGCTTCAAGATATATCCCATCTCCCTTTTCTACTCACAAAACAGTTTTAGAGGGATGAGGAGGGAGGGGTGGAAAAGTTTAAAGGTCCTTACTTTACTGGTGATACTGCATTTCTCTCTTTGGTTAGACAAACTTACCAATCTTGCTGTCTGTCTGTCAGCCCCATGAAGATGGTTGGTGGCTTCAGTGTGGGGAAATGAGTGGTTAGTTGCCAGGCATTGGAAGCCCCTCGAGGCATCCGGTCACTCCTTCTAGCTGGTTTCTAGCTAGTGACAGTCACCACACATCTCTCTGATATGTCCCTCTCTGCCTCCCCATCCCCTAGTATGGCAGAGGCCCTGTCTCCAGCCTCCACTCTCATCTCCTCTCCAGCTACCTCGGGGGCATGACTCCCTCCACTTATCTTCCTCCTGTTCTCCTTTCTCCTAGCTGACATCCATCCAGGGAAAATTACTGTGATTCCTCCTTACAGCACACACTTCTAACCTTAAGATGGGATTTTCTGTAAGCTTTGTCCTCCCTTGTGCTCCCCTCCCCCTTGAGAAGAGGAATGATAACCTCTCACTTCAACCCCTGTATACCTCACAAGGCTAATAGCTTCTTTAGCAACTCTTGTTTTTGGCCCAGAGGAGGGAAAAAGGAGGCATACGTATAATGGTAATAGAATCCATTCTGGCTTGGTCTAACTTGGCTTAGAGGAGGGTGGCCACAGCCAGTTGCTAGTGGCTCTCCTTAGAATGTAGGTTGCTTAGCATTTGTTCTTGTCTTTGGATTGTAGCCACTATACTGATAAAAAAAATTCACTTGTCAATTTGAACAGTTTGCATTTGTATGAATGTATGTGGAGGAGAGGATTTTAAAAGGGTGAGGGATTTTTTTCATTTTGAGGAAAATAGGAAAGTGCTCTATTTACCATGTCAAAACTTGCTTTTATCTAGTCACTGATATATTGTGAATACCTTTCTGTCTTTGTACGTACACATTTACATTAACCTTTTTAATGTCTGCATAATACTCCATCATACTACATCCCCTGATGTATTTACTCATTTTCCTATTGATGAACTCTTAGACTGCATAAGGTTTTACTACCGTAAATAATACTGCAATAAATACACCATATACATATCCCTGCACTTGATTCTAATTATTTCTCTGGAAGAAAGTTCTAAAAGCAGAATTGCATGCCAGGGCATGTACATATTTTTTTTCTAATAGACAGTTCTAAAGTACTGCTTTAATTAACACTCCCATTAACAATGAATTAAAGAGATTATTTTTCTTCTACCTGCTCTCCAATACTGAATAGTATCAATCATTTTAGGATTTGCCAGTAGGAGCTAGGAAAAGTGATATTACCTTTTTCTCCCCCTAATATAAATTCAATTCAATTCAATAGATGTATTTTGAGTGGCTGCCAGGCATAAGGCACAAAGACAGGAAAAAGAACCATCTCTGCCTATATCCCCATAAAAATAGTGAAGGAAGGCTCTAGGGTATAATGGAAGCAGCACTGTCTTTGAAAGAAAGCCTGGCATTTGAACTGTAGCTTTGCTATTTACCATCTGGGTCATCTCCAGCAGCAGCTCCCTGAGCCTCTGTTTTCTCATCCAAATATGTGCATGATAATAACCTTGTACTTGGCACATATTGGCTGGAAAATGGCATCTACTACCGCCATGGCAAGAGAGACTTTGCTAAGTATATACAATATGAACGGGAAAGATAGAAAAGAAAGCATCCATGCTTACTGTTGAAAGGGGAAGGATATCAGGGAAAGATTTGTGGACTCGAGTTGGACTTGTTTCTTAGAAAGATGGGGCTGTGAGGGAAGAACTGTTGTGGGAAAATGTGTGGAGAAAGATGCTGAGCATGTCTAGGTGGGAATGGGGACAGAACACAGTTCTGAGTGGCTAGGGCAGAGCATGTCGTGGAGTGAAATGGGGAGCTGTATTGTGTATGAGCCAGAATGTGAGCACTGAGTAGCAGGTGCGGGTAAGTCGTTAAGTTTCCAACCTATCTGCAATAGAGAAGAGCTGGAAATTTTGGAGGAGAAAAGCACAGGAAGAGAGCTGTCACCTGAAAGGTAAACTTTGTAAGGACTTCTAACCCACCATGTTCAATTTGCTTCCATACTGACTTCTCCTAATAGAACAAAGAACCCAAACCATGATCACCTAAAGTAGCAATGGCCCTTTCCCAATCTACAGAGAGAATTAGGTGTAGAATTATTTGTGTGCTTAGGGTGTTCTCCTGCCTTTTTGCTTTTCTTTCTTTAATCTTTGGTAGTCACAAACACTGTCTATACTAGATTCTAATACAAAATTGTATCTGGCCCATCATAACATTGTAACGTGTTGCTTTTTTTTTCAGATAGGGTCTCACTCTGTTGCCCAGTCTGGAGTGCAGTGGTGCAATCATGGCTCACTGCAGCCTCAAACGCCCAAGCTCAGAGGGTCCTCTCACCTCAGCCTTCTGAGTAGCTGCCACTACAGGCATGCACCACCACATCTGGCTAATTTTTTATTTTTTTTCTACGGATTGGTTCTCCCTATGTTGCCTAGGTTGGTCTCAAACTCCTGGGCTCAAGTGATCTTCCCACCTAGGCATCCCAAAGTGCTGGGATTACAGGTGTGAGCCACCATGCCTGGCTAGATGTTTGCTTTAATTTGAATATATTATACCAATACCAACGTGGTGTTTGCAAAAAGTATGAGGAATTCTGTGTCTCCATCTCTGAAACACACTTGTGAACAATTGTTACAAACTATGAGCATCTTCAGGGCAGAGACTGGTGCACTCTTTATTCTTGTTTTCCTCCCAGCAGCTGGTCCAAAGCATAGGATGTAGTAGCACCTCAAAAAATTCTTGTTGAAATAAGTAAAATATTCTGAATTCTGTAGAGAATGGTAGCACCTGAAAGAGAGATATAAAGTCCTATACCAACCAAGCAAAGAAGTTGGCAAATGGTTCAACAATAATGACAGACACATGGTAAAAACGTTAACCAAAACTGTAAAACAACATGAAACCATAGGCATGATACAACAAGGTCATTGAGTAAAATTGGACAACTGATATTGCAATATGTGTTTTAAATGAATAGGATTTATTTATCGACTAAAATTTATTTTTCAAATATTTCATTTTTCTTCCAAACAAATGACACATACACACACGTATACACACACACACACACACACACACACACACCCCTACACACACACAGAATTCATTTCTCAACCTTCTTTTCACTGCAACATTTCACACAGGAATAGAAACAGATTGTTGAACCAGCTTTTTAACAAATGTGGAGCAGCAGGTTCTTTGTTGAGAAAATATTTCCACTTATCAAGAAATGTTTTTATCTGAAAAGAGGTGAACATTGTGTTCAAAGCATTGACTTCCTTATAAAGCAAATTGGGAGCCAGCTCATTTTTCCATGCTGATAATGTCCAGATTTGAATTATTTCAACCAAAGAGGGAGATGCTCAGGACTGACCCAACCTAAAGCAGCCAGAGACTATGTGGTCAAGAACAGCACTTTATTTGAGAGGATTGTGATTCCAGCTAGTGCTGCAGAGGTAAATGTATTAACTAATTGAATTGAAATGTAATCCCCTGTAATGTCTATGTAAACTTCATGTGGGGACATGGAGAGCGATAGGGAGAGGATCATTTCCCCTACCTAAAATAATTTCTAGAACTAAGTTAAATACGTCACTTACGGAAACAAACTTAATTGGATGGCATTTCCAAATTGCTCTTACCTTGAAAGCTTGCAACAAGATACGTAAAAGAAGAAAAGAAAACAAAAGAAAGATTATCATAAAGCGTATGTTTACAAAAGAAAAACAATGTAGCCTTTCTGCACAAGTACCCCCAGGGCAGCTGGAAAAAAGGGTTGGTACAAATTAGAAATGGTCTGCGCTGTATAGAGACCCATCTGCCTAGAGGAACCAGTAGGGAATTTGCTCTTTCTTTTGTTTTACTTTGTCTGCATCGCAGTGTAGACACAGGGAGTAAGGTAGTTTTTTTTTGTTTGTTTGTTTGTTTTTTTTGGAGATGGAGTCTTGCTGTGTCACCCAGGCTGGTGCAGTGCAGTGGCGCAATCTCGGCTCACTGCAACCTCTGCCTCCCAGGTTCACGTGATTCTCCTGCCTCAGCCTCCCGACTAGCTGGGACTACAGGCACCCGCCACCACACCCAGCTAATATTTTGTATTTTTAGTAGAGATGAGTTTTCACCGTGTTAGCCAGGATGGTCTTGATCTCCTGACCTCATGATCCACCCACCTTGGCCTCCCAAAGTGCTGGGATTACAGGCGTGAGTCACCGTGCCCAGTTGGTAATATGTTTTTTAAGCTGTGCAACAAATTGCTGTAAATTTAGCAGCTTAAAACAGCACCCATTTATTAGCTCACAGCTCTACGGGTCAGAAGTCGGGTGAGTTTGCTACACAGTATCTCACATGGCCAAAGTCAAGGTTTTGGTGGTCTAGAGTCTTGTCTGGGAGGGTCTGGGGAAGAATCTGCTTCCAGGCTCATTCAGTTTGTTGGCAGAATTCAGTTTCAAGTGGTCGTAGGACTGAAAACCCTTTTTCCTTGTTGGCTGTTGGTGTGGGGTTGTTCTCTACTCTTAGAGACCACTCTCCTTGGGGACCTCCACACTCAACGCCTGCCAAGTTGCTTGGAATTTTCTCATGCTTTGATTCTCTCTGCCTGTAGCCAGAGAAAACACTTTACTCTTCAAGGGCTCCTGTGATTAGATTAGGTTCACCTGGCTAGCATGTCTTTTGGTTAATTCATAATCAACCAATGAATAATTTTAATCATATCTGCAAAATCCTTTATGGCAGGAAGCATAATGTGATCTCAGGCATGATATCTCATGATGTTCACAGTCCCAGGAATCAGGGTGGGCCACCCTTGGCGGAGGGAGAGGGGTATCCTGAGATTCTGCTTTCCACAGGGAGCATGACCAAGCCTTGTCATGATGGCATGATATTAAATCGTTTATTTTATTAATCTCCTTCTAGCACCAAGAGTTCAGCAGCTTAGTGACAGGACGTGGGCCATGGTGTCAGTCTACTTGGGCTTAAAACACAGCTTCTCAACTATGGCTGTGTGACCTTGGGCAAGTTAAAGTCCCTTCTGCTATAGTGCCTGTTTTGAACATGTGAATGGTTCCAGAGACACTGGCATATAGGGAAGATTTTGAGCATCAGGCAGGCTTCCCATTTGCTTACGCACAATTTCCTTCTCATGGAATACTAAGTGAATGCAAAAAAAACGGCACCCTAAATGTGCATTTAGGAATACACAAAATGCACACATTTCAAACGACTTCCTCAGTCCACTGCATGTGTTATGAACTACACCCATCCAAGAAGTGCTACAACTTGCCTTCTGATTTCAGACGATCCTCCTTCTACCACTTCCCAAGTTTGCTTTCACAAGTGAAAGGTGAAGTTCCATATTTATTGTAGTATTTGTGTATTTCTTAACTATGTAATATGCCCAAAACTATACTATTGTTTTTATGAGTTCCCTACCTTTATTTTAATGTGTCATTGATGAAGTTTCTTGAGTGTGGTACCTGTTGTAAGTTGAATTGTGCTCCCCAACCATTAGGATGTTGAAGTCTTCCTAATCCCCAGTAGCTCAGAATGTGACCTTATTTGGACATTAGGTCTTTTCAGAAGTAATGAATTTAGAGCGAAGTCATCAGGTAAGTCCTCGTCCATTGTAATTTCTGCCCTTATAAAGGGAGAAATTTGGACACTGACAGACAGGTACAGAGGAAGAATCTGTGAACTCACACAGGGAGTACACCATGTGACCATAAAGGCAGAGAACAGGGTGATGCATCTACATCCCAAGAAATGTCAAAGATTGCCAGCAAGCCACCAGAAGACAGGAGAGGTGCATGGAACAGAGTGAACCTTACAGCTCTCAGAAGGAACCAACCTTGTCCACACCTTGATTTCGGACTTCTGGCCTCCAGAACAGTGAGATGCACTTTGTGGTATTTTTGATGGCAACCATAGGACACTAATGCAGATGCAATCCAAATTTTCTCATAAGCCCTGTGGATTTTATTTCATGGTTTTACAGAGTAAAATTATGATTTTCAGCATAATTTTCAGCATAATTTTAGCATAGGAGGATAATATTGCTTAGGAATGTATATATTGCATTGTAGTAGAAATGACTGTACTTAAATACTGTCTCAGTTGTTTCTTCTTTTTTTTTTTTTTTGAGGCGGCATCTCACTCTGTCACCAGGCTGCCAGGCTGGAGTGCCATGGCATGATCTTGGCTCACTGCAAGCTCTGCCTCCCGCATTCAAGGGATTCTCCTGCCTCAGCATCCTGAGTAGCTGGGACTACAGGCACACACCACCACGCCCAGCTAATTGGGTTTTTTTTGTATTTTTAGTAGAAACGGGGTTTTACTATGTTGGCCAGGATGGTCTCGATCTCCTGACCTCGTGATTCACCCACCTTGGCCTCCCAAAGTCTTGGGGTTCCAGGCGTGAGCTACAGTGCCCAGCCTGTTTCTTCTATTAAATGGATTCCTATGTGATTATTGTGAGGACTAAATGAGACTGTGCATGTAAAGTATTCAGAATGAGGTTAGCACTAGTGAATGCTGGCTATCATTGCTATCCTAATTAAACTGCCTGTTTCAAAACTGAATTTTGGGTTAATTCCAAATAGCAGTAAGGGTTAAATGGTGCTCCAAGTCCCAAATAAACAGCCTAAAATCTTTATACAATGGCTCACTGTAGTATAAACTTGTGGAAACTGCTTATTTAGAGAGACCTGTGTACTGTGCAAGCAAGAGAATACAGATGCTAAATATAGGGCCCCTATCAACACTTGCCCAAACTGTGTATTGATAAGGAATATTGCTGATTTGGAAAAATAGGCCTTTTAAGAGCAATGTAACTATTTTCAGCCCTTGACTGACTAACATCAGGACAAGGTCAGAGGAAACCCACCCAGCTGCTTGTTGAATGCTTTTTTTTTTTTTTTTTTTTTTTCTGATACATGGTCTTACTCAGGGTCTCAGGCTAAAGGGAAGTGTTACAATCATAGCTCAGTGCAACCTTGAATTTCTGGATTCAATCAGTCCTCCTACCTCAACTTCCTGAGTATCTGGAACTACAGGTGCATGCCACCACACCCAGCTAATTTTTGTGGGGTTTTGTTGTTGTTGAGATGGGATCTTGCTATGTTACCCAGGCTGGTCTTGAACTCCTGGCCTCAAGCAATCTTCCCGTGTCAGCCTCCCAAAGTGCTGGGACTACAGGCAGGAGCCATTACATCTGATCTGAATGCTTTAATTTGGATGAAGTGTCCTAGAGAGCTAGCAAAGCTATAGAGAAAGAAGCCAGGCTTTATGTCTGGGGGAAGTGCTTATGCCC